AAAAAAAAAAAAAAAAAAAAAAAAAAACAAACAACAACAACAACAAAAAAACACCAAAAAAACAAAACCACAAATGTACCATCCAAAAACCTGATTATAAATATGTATGTTACTGGTTTCTGATCAGTAGGTTATCAAAGGAAAGTTGTTTTGTTCATTTTATATGCAAAACATAAGACTTGTGCTGTTTCATCTTTGGTAGTAAGGTGCCACTGGTGTTATATTCTAGTACTATAGGTAATGAAACTCCTTCTATTATTCTTGTGCTCCTTAAAAATGCATCTGAATTGCTGTGGGGAGAGTATTGATGGAGCTGGACCTGTAACAGAAGTAACAATATTGCTGCTAACTTTACAATTCAGTATTTCTTAGGTTCCAAGTCTGATATCATTATCAGTCTTCTCTTTCATGAATAAATACCCGCAGTCTTTTGACTTCCATACTCAACAGCGTGGGGTATTTCTTCATTCTTTTTCATCTCATTTGCTTTTGGGGAGTGAGGAAGAGGTAGAACTGGAAAAGCTAACTATATTAAGCAATTGCTTTCATAGGTGTAAATAGATCTTCAGACTGACTAGTACCTTCTGACATTCTTTCATTGGATTCAGCAAAGGATGGAAATTCAAAGCATAATTAGTTCTTGGTGCATTAGTAAAAATTTTAGTTACTGTAGGGAGTATGATAGATATTGGGAGATCTCTCTTGATTATAGTGTAACCCAGACGAGACAGATAAATTATTATTATAAATGCATTGGAAAGTGTTGCTGGGGTTTGGGGGGAACCTCAGGCCCCAAAACTCGAACATCCCTTTTATCTTAGCTGTGGAAAATTAGAAGACAAGCTTTTAGAATTCTAACAAGTAATTTTTCAGATGCATTTTTTTTTTTATTTATTTTTACTTAGGTGTCTTGTTATTTAAAGATACAAGCTGTTAGTGGATAACTTCTTAACAGCCTTGCAATGATGGACTTTCCATTAATATTCATTGTTTTGAAATGTGGCATATGTTCAAGTATTTTGTATTTAGAAAGAACCTGGATGCGTTTAGAAGTATGCTAGAAGCTGAAAGTTCAATTATATTTTTTTTCACCCTCATAAAGGTGGCCTTGGAGGTTTGGCTGGTCTGAGTAGCTTGGGCCTAAATACATCAAACTTTTCAGAGTTGCAAAGTCAGATGCAACGACAACTGATGTCCAACCCAGAAATGATGGTTCAGATAATGGAAAATCCATTTGTTCAGAGCATGCTTTCAAATCCTGACCTGATGAGGCAGTTAATTATGGCTAACCCTCAAATGCAGCAACTGATACAGAGAAATCCAGAAATCAGTCACATGCTGAATAATCCAGATATAATGAGACAGGTATGTAGAAGGATCTCTGTAAGTTCATGACCTTTGATTATACTGTAACTGAACAACAGAGCAGGAACTGGACATGCTTAGTTGAGTGTTTAAATATTCTTCAAGTGTTTAGGCTTGTTAGAAAATCCATAAAAGTTTGCTGTAGGCAGCTGATGTTTGTGTTTCTAATTGTTAATGTCTGAAATAGACTGATAATTCAGAAAATGTGCAGCGTAGATTTGAAAGACATTAAAGACTGTGTAATCAGGTCTTCTGAGGTCAGAATTGCATGTCCCTGTGTGCACTTGAAACCTTCTGTTGTCTAACCAACAGTGAGTTTACCAAAAGTAGTAATTCTCCAAAATACTCCATATTTTCATTTATCTGAGTATTTTTGAGTGCTTTTAAAATTAGATGGAATGTAAGATATACTGTGTGGCAGAAGGTATCAAAAACCCAAATAGATGCTTTTGACAATGTAGGTATTTATTTTAAAGTTCATGTTACAGGCTGCCTTCTGTAACTATGTTAGAAAGGGCAGGATTATATTGTGTTGAAAAGATGAAGAAAGGAAAGAGTAGTTCATTGAAGGTTTTTCTTCTGTTTATCCAGTGTTTCCTCACCCAGTGAGCATAGTGACAGTTGTGGTAGAGTGCTGGCTAAATATCAAATTCAGTTGACTCCCATTAAGCTGACATCTTGATTTGGCTTTAATAATAATTATAAACTATATTAGACAACGGTATCTGAGATATTGCCAAGTGCTGGCATTTTCACTTTAGAATGAATTTCTTATTAATACAGATTAAATGTTCCACTTCCCTAGACACTAGAACTTGCTAGAAACCCAGCAATGATGCAGGAAATGATGCGAAACCAAGACCGAGCCTTGAGCAATCTTGAAAGTATACCAGGTGGATACAATGCCTTGCGACGTATGTACACGGATATTCAGGAGCCAATGCTGAATGCAGCACAGGAACAGGTGAGAAAAGATTGCAAATGCCACTGAAAGTAAGTGCTTTTTAAAAACAGAAACATGTAACTAGTGTAAATGTGTACATAACAAAACATTTCTTGAAGCTTAAAGTCATTATGTGGCCTTCTTACTCCTGAGAAGAAAGATGTTTAAAAATTTTGTGTTCCTCTAAGCTCAGAGAAATAGTGTCACTGTGATCAGAATACCAGTGTAGTAGCAACACTGTTTTCAAAAAGAAATGTGATTTCATTTTTTTTTTTGAGGTGTTAGTATCTGACAATGTTGGAGTCTTTTCAGAATATTTGCAATTACTGTAGAACGGTGAGTATAGCTGATAAAGAGCCATCATTATTTATCTTCATGTTTAATTTTTGAAAGGTACTTTGCCATTTGTATCAGATAGAAAAATGGTTGGCTTTAGTAGGTGATACATGTTTTCTTTCCTTCCTCTGTAGTTTGGAGGTAACCCATTTGCTTCTTTAGTAAGCAATGCATCAACAGGAGGGGACAGTCAGCCATCTCGTACAGAAAATAGAGATCCTCTACCAAATCCCTGGGCTCCTCAGTCCAGCTCGCCAACTTCCACAAGTACCAGCACAAGTGGTGAGAGTGGTGGCAGTAGTAGTGCTGGAAATAGCACCTCTGGCAATACAGGACAGAGTTCAACTGTACCAAATGTGGGAACTGGACTAGGAGGTGTGTTTCTTATGGCAACTGTATATATTTGCACATACTTGAGAGTTTGAAATTATTATTTCATTAGAAATAGTTTTTGATTCAGAGTTTTTATTGCTATTTACTTTTGTAGAACATTTGACTAGTATCAAAGTCCTCTGTAGAAAAACAAACATGAAATGTAAACTAAGAGTAGCAACAATACTTGTGTATTGCCTTAAGATACCAAAGGTAGGAAATATCTAGATGAATGATAGTATTTTTCCTGCTTGGAGGCAAATGTGAAAGTAGCTAATAATGTAGATAGTGGGACTGCTTGTTGGATACAGCCTTGTCTTAAACTTCTAGGGTAGATGTGTCCATGTAATCAGAAACACATTGAGGTGTATTTCAGGGACTAAAACTCTTAGAAACCAAGTGGTTATAACCTGGCTTTAGGTATTCTAATTCTCATCAGATGATGGTCAGGATGTTTACTAAAGTGACCTTTTACCTTTTTTTTTAAGCTGGTATGTTCAACACACCAGGAATGCAGAGCTTATTACAGCAGATAACAGAAAACCCACAGCTTATGCAGAATATGTTGTCTGCACCGTATATGAGGAGCATGATGCAGTCATTAAGCCAAAATCCTGATCTTGCAGTACAGGTAAATGTATCTGGTGTAGTAATGTATTGTGTGTATTGAAGTAAAAGGGGAAAAAAAAGTGTTGAATCTATGATACAGTTAAATTTTCACTTGTGCCAACATCTCAACAATTGTCTATAGTGGAATGGCCCAGTTCTTAATATTAATCCCTAACTCACTGAAATCATTACCTACTTAAATTTACAACTTGTTGCAGTGAGCTTCTTCAATTTGTAGTTGGACATCATGCCAGTCATGTTTCTAAAGTAACTTTTAACTTTGTGTGTTTCTTGTACAGCCCTAAGCTTGTGACGCAGTATTAGAACCAGTTAGACAAAACAAATGCTTTGGTTGTAAAGTAAGGTACATCTACCAGTAGATAAATATCCCCACTAGCCTGGGAGAAGTGAAGGGAGGGGAGTTAGTAACAAAGCTAGACTTTGGTTTTAACTTCTCTTTGTGACCTGTGCTGACTGTAGAAGTACAAATGCTGTTTTATGAATGGTATCATAGAAGTGCTTTCAAATTTTACTTAAAGCAGTAGTATCCAAAACTGAATCCTGAACTGAGATTAAAAAAAAAATTATCTTTTCTGTATTAAATAACTACCTGGAAAATATCTTTGACTTCAGGTGATGTTTACAGGGAAACTATCACCTAGATCTGTAGTGGAGGCTGAGCAGAAAAGAATTTTCTTGCACTACGAGTGAGGTTGTCTTGGCAAGTATCTGACAATTCAGTTGCATAAGATAAACCCAACCAAACAAAACATCAACAAACAACAAAACTCTGTCCCAAAACCCAACCAAGCAACAACCAAAAAACCCAAAGCAAAGCAGAAACCCTATCCCAAAAAACCCAACCCTGCAATGTGTTCAGGCTGGTGGTTCATAACAAGTTTTGGCCAGAGGAATAGTAGATGATTATTATTATTCTGCGAGGTTATTTTTGTAGACTATTACCATGTAAATAGTTGTCTTAAAAAGCGCTCTGATTTTTACTGCTTGATCTTTGAAGTTAAATATTTTTCTCCCGTAGATGATGTTGAATAATCCTTTATTTGCTGGAAATCCTCAACTTCAGGAACAGATGAGGCAACAGCTTCCAACTTTCCTTCAGCAAGTAAGATGAGATACTAGCTGTTAATAAATATCTGCAAGTCGGTGACCAGTATTTTCAGTAAACTGGTGTCTGTCTTTGATTTGACTAAAAGCTAGGTTCTGTAATGTATTCTTGTTAGCTTTAGACACTAAGTTGGATTGTTCCTTGATGATAAACTCTTGCTTAATGTCTCCATCCCTTTCAAAAGTTAAACCTGACTTAGTGGATGTTTTTGTCTGTGGCTAGCATAGCTTAGATTTGTTCTTGCTGCTTGGCTTGGAAGGAATAATTGTTCTTACTGTGCATCAGGCAGAGAACACCTGTTTGTGACATGGTTTGTTTCACAAATTAAAACGATTGGGACTTTTCCCACTGTTAGAATAAAGTTTCACTCTGCTTTCTTATACATCTTCAGACTTGCCTTAAATATTTGGGAAAGATCTTACAGGATGCCTTGAAAGACACAAATCATTAACTAATTCAGAAGTGTATTCTGAGGCTTTTTGCTTGTGAAGATTGCCCTACTACCATCTTCCCCTCTTAACAATATTGTGCTTGCAGCCCAGGTATCTGTTTGGTATTAGCTGCCACAGTGTGTAGTAGAACTGTGTTCTCTAAATAGGAGTAAGCAAGATTTTTTTTTAGGAATTGAAACTTCTTCCAGTGTGTGAGTTCCATCATTAGACAGTCCTTGCAAATCAGAGTAAATGTCCTTGTAAATCAGACAAGATCTGGTTGCACACAGGCTGTTTTATGAGTAAATTAACATGATTTACAGTAGCAAGTCAGTGTTCAGAAGAAAGTGTTTAAACTGTTTCAACGATATGAATGGCTGTGGTTTCATAAGGCCACTACTGCGTGATGACTGGTATCTGAGGAGCTAGTACCACATGTATTTTTTGAAATCTGTGAATAAATGGTAATTAATGAAGGCACAGTAGGAATAATTTCTGTTTCCTTTGAAGTATCTCCTTTCAGTAGCACCCTGTGGTTTATCTGCACAGCTAGTTCTCTGTTGTATTCACTATATTAGGTCAGATGATCATCAGCATTAGCAGGTGAAGTAAAGTGGAGAAATATCTGGGTATTCTCAGAATGTTGACAGTATTGCAGGTTGTACTTCCTTGCTTATCTACTGGAATTTGTTACAGGATTGGGTGACAGAAACAATCCTCTGCAAAACAAAAGGCACCTTTTGCAATAAAGAGCAGTTGCCCAGCAGAACTAGAAAAGAATTGCTGCTACTTAATAGCTGGAATTAATAACATTAATAGAGACAAGGTCCAGGTCTCCTAAATGCCCCAGGGATTGGTGTGCCACCATTTCTGTAAAACAGCTCCAAATATCAGACAGTTTAAATATTTTCTTAAAGTAGTTGCAGCAGCTTTCTTTGGAGAACCTCTTTAAAATTTGAGTAAACTTTGCCAGCTATATATTTAGTCATTTTCTGACTCTTGGCTATTAGGAAGATAACAATACAGGAGATGAATGGAGAATATTAATAACTTGCTGTGTTTAAGTCTCGTTACACGCCCATATTCCAGACCAGGGTTCTTCATGTCCTGTTCTGCCCCAGAGGAAACTTAATCTGTGATTTCTATGTGAGTCAAAAAAGTTTTTGCAGCAAAAGAAATTTGATCTAGTTGCCAAGTGAAGGCTGCTAAGATTAATGAGCCTGTCTGCCATTTGAAGTAGGTCTGGCTACCAAGACTGTGTCACTTGTGACTGAAACATTACTTTTCACTTACCTGTGGCATCTCTAAGCAGGTGAGCATAAGTCATTAGTTTTGGTTTTGTATCCAAAATAGTCAGGCTTCTGGACATTTAATTTCAGAAATGAAAAGGACTTGTCTTTTAAAGCTGTGGATGTGAAAGCCAGTTTTTAATTGAAATCACAGTAGAGTGAGAGCCCTTAAATATTACACATTGGTTTGCTAGTATGTTTTGCAGTGTATTTGTTTGCATTTCTGTAAGGTGTGAGGGCACATCTATGCAGAAGTCATCATGATCAAGCTGCTGTGGTCTGAATTTAGCTAGGAAAAAGAAATATTGGATAACCCATAGATAACAATTGGTCAAGTTTCATTGTGTTCAGCATTGTTGCTTAACAGTGTTACAACCCAGACTGGGAGCCCAGGGAGTCATAAAAATTTTGTGATTCCCCTTGGGTTAAATTGGGTTGAAATGACACTAACCAACCAGTTAAAATGTTTTACTTACAGGAGAAACAACTTCAACTTAGAAAAGGATAGTAAGCAATGTGGTCTCTGTATCTTACTGATAAATCTGTAAGAGGGAGAGGAGAGGAATGTTTTCCATGAACTCATTAGCATGAGGAAAAGTGGAGTGTGGGTTCTGTGCATGCATTGAGGGGGGATGGGATGCGTTAACCCTTTCATCCGGTTGAGTTGGTTGCAATTTCCCCCTGCCACCTTTACCTCTCCCCCAGTTACCTGGGTTTTCACTGACTCTATGCTTTTTGGGCAACCATCCAGCCTTTGGCTCCTTCTGGGGTAGATGTTCTCATCAGTCTTTTAGCTCTTCTTCAAGGGCATAGTTGCTAGCAAGGGCTGCATCATTTATACGTAGTATCAAACTTACACAACAGAGCCAAAGTTTAGTGGTTCTCCTTAAAAGATCAGTGCAGCAACAGTTTGATGAATGATTGAGGCACTAATTCCTTCAGTTCCTTGCACCACCCCATGTCTCAGACGTTTGGTGAAACTTCAAGGTAGTCATTATCAAGGGCAGTAATTGTTTTGCTCTTGCAAGGTCTTAACTCTTCAAGTAACATTACGTTCCTTGGCCAGTTGATCTTAGAGGACTTTTACTAGCTCTTGCAAGAATTTTATTGCTTCTCTTTCCTCCTGCTGATTTGCCTGTTGATCCTTCTGGGCATCCACCAGGGCATCTCCCAAGACCACACAATGCTTTCCATTTTCCTTGTTTGAATCTCCATTCTTTATCTAGAGAGAAGAGTCTGTCCACTGCCTCTTGGGGATCATGCAAATTTTTGCAGGCCCAAGTCACACCAGGGGGAGAAGGTCAGGCATTATAGCTGTCTAAACCTCTTCAGGAGAGGGATACAATTTACAGTTGGATCTCCTACAGAGGCCATAACGAGCCTACAGTCAGACCTCCCAGGGAGGCTGTAATAAGAGTGAGTGTGTGTGTGTGTGTGTGTGTATATATATATATATATATATATATATATATATATATAAAAATATATAAATATAAAAAATAAGATACATATTTTATATCTATATATCTATATCACCTACTACGAAAGTTTTCTCAAAAAAGAAAAAATATGTAAAGGGTTTCATGTATGTAAGTATTTGAACATAAAGTTGAAAAGTAAGTTCTGAAATGTTGTATTCTATAAAACATGTAGTGATAAAGATTGACTTTGAATATCTGCATATGATTAAGAGTTTCTCTCCTTTTCTTAGATGCAGAATCCTGACACGTTATCAGCTATGTCAAATCCTAGAGCAATGCAGGCTTTGCTACAGATTCAGCAGGGCTTGCAGACACTAGCAACGGAAGCACCTGGGCTTATACCAGGGTAAGAATTGGTCTTACAAATTTAGACAAGAACTTTTCTCCTGTTAAGTTGTTCATTCTTTCTACACATAGAGATTTACCTAGTTTTTATTAAAGATGACTGCTGCTGTTTTTAGTTGAACTAAACATGTTTTATAATCTGTCACGTTTTTGCCTGCAGTGCATTTCTAAGCAGTGCTGACTGTTCTTTGTCTTGGTGCTTTACTTAAAATGTCACCCCCTCTTCAACAGGATTTTTACTCAGTAATTAAATAAGTGAAAAGAGACAAGCTAGTAATTATTATTGAAGTGGTTTATATCTTTTTCTATCATTTATGCAGATTTAATCCTGGTTTAGGTGGATTGGGAAGCACTGGAGCTTCTACAGGGTCCACTGTACCTAGTTCTGTTCCCAGTGAAAATACAAATCCAGCATCAGGAGCTGCTGAACCTGGTCACCAGCAGTTTGTCCAGCAAATGTTGCAGGCACTTGCTGGTGCGAATGCTCAGGTAAAGTACATCACTATATTCTAGATTTCTTTAAATTCCTATTTTATTTTTTCATTGTAAACCACTAGGAAGGAGGCTGATAGTTGAGGGGAGAGCTTCCTGGATACTTCTGGTCAAAGGATAGCAGAGGTGGCTTAAAACTGGTGTTGCAGTAGTACAAGTAAATGCTGGAAAAATATCAAATTTGGGTAAAAGTGTCCTCTAAGCAGCTGATTTTATACACTCACCTCATGCCCTTGAATTTCTGAAATACTTGGGAAAATTGAGACAGATTGAAGTTGTAAGGTTCACTGGCAAGTGAAGTGTGGGCTCAGGCAAGAGAAAAGCTTAAGCACATTGAACACAGTTACCTCAGCTTTTTGTCTGGCTGTCTTTTAGTCTTTAGTTGTAACTAAAATTCTGTTGTATGCTTTAGAATAGCCACACTCTTTATTTGGAGCCTTGATTTGTTGTATGGCTTCCCACATAATGCATGCTGCAGGTCTGGGCTGCAGTGCATTTTGACGTACTGAGTGGGATTAAGGGTTTCCAGAGAGCTCCAGAAGTCAAGCAAAGGTAGCAGTTTTGCCACAGCTGTAGGGTGGTGAGCAGGACTGTCTTTAAAGGAGACATGCTGTTAACTCTCCAGAACGCTGTGTGAAACAGCATCCTTATTCTGTGGTACATACCCAGTGTAACAGCACGCTGCTGGTGGAAGGAGCAGTCCTGCTTTTTCCTCCTCTGTCACTGCAAGAGTGAGTTAGTTCATCTTGCTGATCAGACAGTGTCATGGTTTGAACTTGGCTGATAGCCAGTCACCACATAGCCAGTTGGTTACTTTTTTTCCCCCCTGCCTGGTAAAACAGGGGAGGGGGGAAGAAATAAAAAAAAAAGGGAGAATTTGTAGGTTGAATTAAAAATGCAGTTTAGTGATGATAACAAAACAGTAACAACAGGAGGTCCAAACAGGTAATACACAATGCATTTGCTCACCACCCGGTGACCGGTATGCAGCCCACCCCAGAAGTGATCCCAACAGCACAAAGATCCTGCTTCTGTGGCCAGTGGAAGTGAGAGAGCAGCAGCCTCCTTTATATACTGAGCATGATGTCACATGATATGGAATACTCCAGTGACCAATTCTGGCCTGACCTTCCAGCTGTGCTCCCTCCCAGCCCAAGGAAAGTTAACTCTTATCATGGACAAAACCAGGACAGACAGGCTTTTTTTATCTTGTTATCTAATGATGAGAAAGTATTAATGAGTGTTGTAGTCTCATACATTTTCACTTACATTGTCAGATCTTACACTATTGAGTCATCATTCTGATTAGTTTTTCATGGGGGAAGCAGGTGAGGGGCAGTTCTTAAATTTCAGGTTATGTCTTTACTTTGTAATGGTTTGAAACCATATGCAGCTTTTCCTGTAGTTCAAGAACGTCATGTAAGAGTAGCTACCCTTAAAATTTCAAGCTGCTCTGACTTGTTACAAAATAATTCTATTGTGAATTGAATTTATGTCATAGTATAGTTTCAGGATCTTGAAAAAGTTGTAGTCAGAAATTAGTAGAGAGTGAGTGGTGCAGAACCACCTGTGTTTAAATCCTGTAATTTGCTAAGTATATGTTATGCTTTTATAACTTGAAATTTTATTCTTAGCAGTTACAAAATCCAGAAGTTCGATTTCAGCAACAACTGGAGCAGCTGAGTGCAATGGGATTTCTGAACCGTGAAGCAAACTTACAAGCGCTAATAGCAACAGGAGGAGACATCAATGCAGCTATTGAAAGGCTGCTTGGCTCTCAGCCTTCATAGCAGTGTTTCTTTAACTTGAAAAAATGTAATTTATTTTTGATAACAGCTCTTAAATCTTTAAAATATTTGCTTTATTTCATTCTGACTCCTGGGATTGTCTTGTAACTAAAATTGGTCTGATGAATTTTAAGGTGGAGTGCAGTAGTTTTCTTCAAACAGCGGGAATCAATTAATTTTCATTCTGTTGCATGCATCACACTACTTTTGTTCTGCATTATTTGTGATTTTTCTGAACAGTATCAGCTTTCACAGGTGGGTTAACAGGGTTTTTTTCTGACCTACAACTGTACAATTTATTTACTACTTAAACATTAGCTTTTAGTAGTAATTTATGTAGAATACAAATTAAAAAGGAAACAAATTAATTGAAGCTACAATTTGTGGGTACCAATACTGCTTATTGTGATTTTGGCATGTATTTTTTTGCTAGCAAAATGCTGAAGGATTTATACCACTTGAGTAATCCACCATTTTTGCTTTAATTTGTATAAACACAATATATACAGTGGAGAGAGCTCATTTATAGAGACTTACACATTGCAATAGAATGAGATAAGTAATGCAAAAAAGCCAGGGGGGGTGG